ACAGACATTTGTGCTAGAAATAGGGACGCTGGACCTACAGGGACTTGTTCCTGTTTCACTTCGCCTGCAAACAGCGCTCGTGCAGCCAGATGGGCAAGTGCATGAGGAGATTGGCTTCTCGCCTCGATGATAGACTTTTCCTTTCTCCCTTCAGCCATGCGGAGCTCCAGGACCTCTGATGCAGAGTGGGAACTCTCTGCGAGGCCAGCCTCCAGGTGGGCAGGTGTGTTGCACGCCCAGGAGCCTGCCCGAAAGCACACCCCTGCAGCCCCCTCCTGGCTGAGCTGCGCTCTCTCAAGAATGGCCTCTGTTGCCGGTGATGTCATGCAGGTAGCACGGGGCCTGACTTCTGACACTTTCTGCTGCATCTTAAGTTGGAAGAGAGAGGGTCCAGTCTGGGGAAGGGCGAGCACATCCCGCATCCACAGAACAGGTGCTCTGCAAGCTGCGCTTGCACATCCTCGGGCGCTGGCGTGTGCTGCAGCCAGCTCCGAGCCCGGGTGAGGTTCATCTGAGGGTAAGTTAAAGTGGAGTCTGTCAGCACGCACAAAGGATGGAAGGGGATTTGGTGTTTCTATAGCAATTATGGGGGGAGAATATCGCCGACAAAAATAAAACCTGAAACTGTGCCCTTGACATGTGATTGCTTTATTCTCTGCTCTCAGCTAGGAAAGGAAGACAGTTTGCTCTGTTTTATTCAGGTTTTTTTGAAAAGGGAGGCAAACTGACAGACAGGCGGAGACAGACACAATGAGACCCAGAAGCAGAGTTGAAGTTCAGGAAGAGAAAAAGACTACAAATGGGCAATGATCCCAGAGGTTGCACGCTCTCCCGGGCCCCAGCCTTTTTTTTTTTTTTTTTTTTTTTTTTGACTTGTCATAGGGAGTTTGAAGTTCAGCATGCTGCCACTTTCCCCACCTCTCTGGAGGCGGAGGCGGGAAGTATGGCTGGTTGTGGCTGGGCCTGTGGCCCCTGGCGTGGCTTTCTTTCTTTCTTAACTCAGTAGAGTCACTGGAAACATCCCAAACCTGGTGTGCCTGAGGGTGGTGTTCTGGGACTGGCTTCCCTAGGCCCTAATGCAGCGATGTCGCCCAAGAGGAGAACCAAGAGCAGATGGAAGCAGGGCTGCTCTTCACCCAGCTCGTATTCTCAAAGCTGCTGGCCTGCAGAAGAAAGACCCCAGTTTCTATTTCAAATAACCCGGATCCATCGGCAAGTCCTGATTAGGTACTTCCCAGTCTGTGTAAGAACCCTGCGAGCAGTAGGGGAGTACAAGGCATGATTCTTATCCTAAGGGAATTTTCTGGCCGGTGGAGGACACGAGGCAGCCATCCATGGAATAACGAGAAGTAATGTCAGCATAGTAAGGAAGATCGCATGCAAGAAAGGCTTCATAGAGGTGGCGGGGCTTGAGTTGGGGCCTTGACGGGCAGATAGAATTTAAAAAGGCAAGAAAATACCAACATGGAAAGAGGCAACATGTGCCCAGGCTCGGAGGCACGGAGGATACAGGCAAGAATTTTCACGATCCAGGGGGGAGATCAGAAGGCCTGAAGGGGGCCCGGTGGTTGGGCATTTTATCTCTTAGGAAAAAAAATTATTGAGAGAGTACACGGCACAGAGAAGGGTTTCTTGAGTGCGTTCTGAGAACCCGTCTGGCAACTTGCGCTGAGAAAGGAAAAGGGGATTCCACATTTCAGTAAGCTGTACCCCTCCTTCCAAGATTCACAGTTCTTACTGCATTTTTAGGGCTCTGAGCAGTCACACACTAAGGGAACCTTTTAACTTAGTTTTATGTAGAATTTTTCAATCATGTGTCTCTACAGATTTTTTATTTTTATTTTCTTATACGTAGTGTCTGTCACCAGACCTTGGGACGAGTGTTCTGTGACCCTCATACTGGGGAACACGGGCACAGAACATCCTGGGCTTTGAGTTCAGGTCGGCAGTTCCCAACTGAGCGTCTTGGTAGGTGATGACAATGGTCGAACCACTTCACCTTGCTGAGCTGCCCCTTACGATGGCTGTGGTGACGCGTTATAAACTGAGATAAGGGATGCCAAGTCCTCACATACAGCCAGCTCCAGAGTAAGCACTGGATAGGAGGAGGCTGCTCTGAGCCGCCCCCGAGTGCCGTAAGCACAGCGGAGTAGTGTCAAGTCGAAACAGCAGGAAATTGGAAAGTCTTACATAGGGAGCCCACAGTGAACGCATTTGTCTTGTTTTGTGTTTTGAGACACAGTCTCACTCTGTTGCTTGGGCTAGAGTGCCGTGGCGTCAGCCTAGCTCACAGCAACCTCAGACTTCTCGGCTCAAGCCATCCTCCTGCCTCAGCCTCCCAAGTAGCTGGGACTACAGGCATGGGCCACCATGCCCGGCTCATTTTTTTCTATGTATATTTTTAGTTGGCCAATTAATTTCTTTCTATTTTTAGTAGAGACGGGGGTCTCGCTCTCGCTCACGCTGGTCTCCAACTCCTGAGCTCAAGCGATCCTCCCGCCTCGGCCTCCCAGAGTGCTAGGATTACAGGCGTGAGGCGCCACCGCGCCCGGCCGAACGCATTTGTTAATAGATGCATCTGGCCGTCCTGGCGGGATGGGTTAGGTACGGAGTGAGTCAGGGCCTATGCAGGTATAGGTGCATGCTGTAGGTAGAGGCCACAGGGTCCAGCCAAGCATCCTGTGCACTGGGCTTTCCAAACTGAAGGCAGGAGCGGAGTGAGGCCAGGGAGGGATCACCTCCCCGCCCCCTGACAGCCAGGCAATTATGCCGCAGCCGGGCCTGGCTCCGCGGGCTCCGGGAAGCGTGTCCCCTCTCCGGTGACTCTGACATGGCGAGAGCCCCCAGCTCCCCGGGGGCTGGCGCATTAAGATCCAGCACAGATTGTCTCTGTCTCGCTCGCAGACATCGGCTCATCATCACCTTGGCAAGTGACTGACAGGGAGCAAGGGGCAGGCTCCTCTGCCTGTCTTGTCACACCTACAGTGCCTCCCTGGTCCCCACCCACTTTCTATTGTGCTCCTCCTGCCCCCGTTTGTGAGGCTGCAGCCCAGCTCACCCAGCCTGTTATCATTGACCTGAGACTGGGCCACCTAGGTAGAGGTAAGGGCAGATGTGTGGTTCTTTTCTGGGAGAGGGGCACTCATGCATATTGTCTCCCCCCTTCTTTCTTTCTCTGCTTTTACCTTATTTTTATCTTATTGACTTTCAAATTCAAAAACAACAAACATTTACAGGGCACTTGCTTTGGACCAGTCACTCTGCTAGGTGCTTTGCTTTATTTATTCAGTGAACAGTTAGGTAGCATTTACGATAGACTAGAAACTGTTCTGAATGTTTTTCAAATATTAGCTTAATCCTCCTGATTAATTACACCTGAGGTAGTGACCGGTAATGTTCCCATTTTGCAGATAGAGAAACAGAGGTGCACAGAGGTTGAGAACTTTGCCCAGTGTCACCCAGCAATGGAGTCGTGGAACTGGGATTCTATCCTGGGGACCTGGCTTTGCAGCCTATGCATTTAACCACTCCGTGTTACTTGCGTGTTAATGCGCTTCCAGGGCATCATAACATTCACATCATAGCGTGGATATTTTTACACTTAGGAAAATTGGGGCTGCGAGACACTTGCCCAAGGTCTTTTTGAACCTAGATCTTTTTTCTTCAAGTTCAGGGCTAATGTCCTGAACTCTGTAGGGCTGGCTCTCGCCTTCTGGCATAATCCTGATCTAAGAGGAGGGTTGTGTGGGAGAAGCTGGTCCTGTGGGAGCTGATTTGCAGCCGGGAGGCACCACTGCCAGAGTGGAACTGCACTACTTAAGCTAGCAAGGACGGGGAGAAGCGGGCAGTCCAGGCGGGGGCCACCTGGGGGAGGCCCGATTGGGAGCTCTGGGTGCTGAGATCTGCCAATGGGCATCAGGAACCCGTATCTAGGCTCTGGCTGCAGACAGCTTTCTCCACCCTGCAGGGAGGGCAGAGGAGAAGAAAGGCCTGGAGTCTTGGGGAGGGACTCCATTGGGGAGCCTGTTCCTCGCTCAAACTCTAATATGCATGTGAATCTCCTGGCTTCCTTAAATGCCGTTCTGATACAGTGGGTCAGAGTGGGCCCCGAGTTTCTGCATTTCTCACAAGCCTGCAGGTGAACTTGATGCTGTCTGTGGGCGGATCACATTTGCCAGGTCTCCTGGGAAGATGTTTTCTCTGGGTTTCTGGCCTTTTGGGGGGAGGACAGTGGTTGTGGTTTGCAGAGGTCTTGCTTGGTGCTCCATCCCCCATCCTACTGCTAATTCTGGGAGGATGGGAGGAGCGGTAGGGATTAGGTCTGAAAGAAGCAAGGGCTCTGTGATTTTGTTCTGCCTGTTTTTTAGGGTGCTGTCCTTCTGCTCCTGCCAAAGCCCCAAGGCCCTGCAAGGCTTGCCTGAGACTCCTGTCTTCCAAGCCCTTCCTGAGCAGGTGGAACCCCCAAGCATCCTTTTCCACGCCAATGCTTCGTTTTATCTCTCCCCGTCTATCCTCGCTTAAAATTATCTTGCTTAAAATGATTCTGTAATGGCCTCATATGCATAGGCTCTCCTCCCTTCTTCTGTCCCCAGGCCTAAAACATTGCCTGGTATCTAGGATACACTCTAAAATGTTAAATAAATGAAATAATGAAATGAGACCTCTTTCAGAAGTTTTATTTCTATCGAGCCGCTCTCCGAGGGATGCTTAGCAGTAGCCTCAAGTGTTAGGTAAACATTTTTAATCCACCTCTTATTTCAGGAGTCTTTTCCGGTGGCCTAAATTTTGGGGAAAGAAGGCGGGAAGGGCTGGGTGGAGAAACTCCGTGAGTCGCAGGGAGCAGGCGGCTGGGAAGGCTTGGAATTTGCTCAGTTTGTCAGGAGGATGAAAAGTCCGAAACCTGCAGCCAGGAAGGGCTGCTCAGCCCAGCCCCGGGCCGGGCGCCTCGCTCTGCCTTTGACTTTGACAGTTCAACTGTCAGCCTCAACAAATTCCACAATCTCCTGCTCACATTCCTCTTTTATTCCAAGCCTGTGATCTCAGATTCCCGGTAGCATTTATCAAATCCATGAAAATGTCCCCCTCCTGTCCCCTGAGGGGGAACCTTCACTAGGGGGAAATTGGGGAGCTAGAACGTTTTCTTGCCGGCTAATCAGTCGCCCGAGGCTAACGCTAGCTGCCCTGGGCACCCGGATCCTGCCATCCTGCCATGATAGACCTGGCTCACAGCCAAGTCAGTGCTCCACATGCAACTGGCAAATTGCACTCCCGTGCGGCCTTTCCCTGGGCCCTGTTTCCCCAGGACTCCTGGGGGCTTAGGAAGACCTCGCTCTGTACTCTTGAAAGAGACCCGGACCTTATTCTGCTTTATTTTATTTTCAAATACCCAGTTTGGAAAGGGGATAGGCTGTCTCTGACCTTTTAGCCCCTCCCCGCTGCCCATCTCTGCCTTCCCCACGGCGGGCGGAGACAGGGACATCTGCGGGAGTGCTGGACATTCTGCCTGACTGTCAGACTCCCCGTTCCAGTTTTGGCCAGTGGGTTTGTGCTGCAACGGACATTGGGAAAATCCAATGTCTCATCACAGGGATGGGTTTTTGGGCGTGATCGCTTCCTCCTGGGCTGACACTTCATCGCGAGAACCGCTCTCAAGACCCTATTCAGAAGCACAGAGGGTTTTGAGTTGGGACTGGAGGAGGTCCTTCTATCCATCCCTGTGCTGCCCTGTGACCTCACAGTCCCCCGAGCTGCTTCCCTAAGCTGTGTGGCTGGCCAGCTCCCCGCTGCCAGCCCACCGCGGATCCTCTTTTTTTGCAGGCACTCCTGAGCTCACGTGTGGCTTTTGAACAACCCCTCGCATTCATCTCCTTCCAGAATCCCAGCCTGACGGGGCTCAGATGAAGAGTTCCAGAGAACAGATGGGAGGCTGTCATTACGCGTTACTGATACACAGAGCGGCTCCAGCCTCACGCACGCCAGCGCGCTCAGCCACACTCGTAATTCTTCCTCTGTTCCCCAGCCCGAGCCAGGAGCTCAGCCAGTTTTGGCAAGGAGTGAAAGTGTGCGCTTTCTAGGGGCATTTATATAAAACATGCTAGGATTGACAATGAACTAGGGAACCAAACCCTTCTTCTTTTATTAGGGAAGAAAACACTGCGATTCTCCAATTCCCTTGTGAAAACTAAAAATCAGGAGTCAAAAAAAAAAAAATATTTGCTAGCTGACTTGGGTGCCATTGCAGTTGGCTAATGCAGGAACCCTCTGGAGATGTGTTTCTTTGTCTAGTTGCAGAGCTCACGGGTGGTCATAGACTATTCTTGGTGATGAGTGTTCCAGCAGCTTCTACAAGGTCATGGCACTGTAAAGATCAAAGTGGGCCAATGGGATATTATATTCCAACTTCTTCTAGGAGCACAAAGAGGAGCAGAAACATTGGCCAGAGCAAAGAAATGACTAGTCAGTGACTAGTTAGTAGAAAAACTGGGAATCGAGCTCAATTCTAGTTTAATACTTTCATAGGAAATTGCAGCAACACCCACTAGTTTAGTGAGAGAGCTTTTTTTCTAGAGATAAAGGTTGGAGGGTAGCTTCTTTGCCCAATTTTGCATGAGAACGCAGAAATTTCATTTATGCCCAGGGTGGTTTAATAATCTCACAGGAGGAATGGACATCAGTTATACCCTGGTCAATCTAATGCTTTCAGTAAAAAAAAAAAAAAAAAATCACTTTGCCCCTCTTTGAATGGTCTGCAGAGAGATTAAAAACCAGTTTTCCTTGAGCTTCATTCCTGCATGAAACTTGAAACCTGGATAGAAATCGTAAAGTTGGAAAATCTCACTTGAAAGCTGGCCCAAGATCTATGTTTTTTTTTTGTTTTTTTTTTTTCTGTTTCCCATCCTGTGAGAGGTGGAGATGTGTGTGCACCTTCGATGCAGACTTTCCTTCTGTTCTAGGAAATCTACCATGTGGCTATGGAAATTTGCAGCCCGAGCACTAATCTGCTATGGAGATGATGGAGAAGCCTTTGCTCTAAGCAGCTAAACTGGGGCCTAGTCGAGAGCTGTCAGTGCGGTAAGCAGAGCTGGGGCTTCTCACACTCTTGCCTTTGAAGAGCTATTTCTTTTCCGAGTGTGAATTTAGACTGAACTATGCCCACAAACCATCGCCTGCTCTTCTGTAGATGCCTGTGTTCCTGTTTGAAGTGATGCTCGCAGGAGGCGGAGAGCCCAGGCCGAGGAAACAACAGGAAGGAGCTGCAGGCAGAGTCTTCACCCCACGCTGGAGAAAGGACCTTCAAAAGGAAATGACTGGGCATTGGAAAAGCTCAGCGTGGACTGCCCTGTGCTTGGCCCACTGTAGCGTGACAGGGCATGGAACAAGCTAAACTTCAAGAAATACTGAGAATGAAGGGTGGCAGGGAAAAGATAAAAGCCTGCTGCAGATTTTCAGGCCTTAGGTGAGGAAGGCCTGGGATGGGTAGGACTGAATGGGAGAGACGATTATCAGGGAAGAATAGGTTGGATTTGGTGGCAGACAATATCCAGGGGATTAAGGAGAGGGAGTGATTGATATTACCTCTAAGAGTTTGAGCCTACTTACTGTGGATCTATAGTGCCATTAACTGAATAAAGGAATTTGGAGAGGGGGAATCATTCAAGGTCTGCTTCCACTCTCAGTGGTGATGGAAGCCCCTCTCCAGCAACACAATTGCCACCACCTAGAGACCGCCAAGGCCTTGCATGAAGGGAGGTATTAAGTGATTTGCTGCCCTGAGTCTTTGTCCATTTTTCTCTGGGTCTTTGTACGTTTTTTTATAAAGTAGCCATGCAGAGACAAGATGTGCAGACTGGTATGTAGGAACAAAGAAGGCAGCGAGCAGATAAGATCCAACCATGCCAAAAGCAGCAGAAAGGAGAGACCCACCTCTCTTTATGCAGCAGAGATCTTCTGCCATACATTTACATACATTGATTTTTTTAAAGTTTGAAACCTTTCTCCCCATTATTCTTATTTTCCTCTCAAATCAATGAATGCATCTCAGTTTGATTTTCTATAATCAGTGGCTTGCCATAAGCATTTCCATCCTACAATTTAAAGACCTGTAAATAAACACTTTCGTGTACTCAGGGGAACAGGTGCTTAAAGGTGTTCTTTGATAATGTACACGACCTACACTTAATGCATCTTTTTATACATTCCCATTTTCACAGAAACAAGAGCTTCCTACACAGGATTACTTCTGAAGTCAAGGACTGGATTCTTCTAGAAGCCCCCATTCAGCCCCTGGCATAGGCGGATGGCTGGGCTAGACTTTGTCTCTTGGGCTCCTTGACGACAATGGGCTCTGTCCTCGCTGGGTGCTGACCAGCCTCTGGGAACGACGAAGTTACTGCCCCCTGGCCCTCAGTTGGGGTCAGGAGTCACTTAGTCCTCCTTCTGACCTTGTCTTTCAAAGGCTGATCCTTATTAACCATCAGCATGGGGTGGGGAGTAGCTGAGACAATCTTCAGCAGTGGCAGGGTGACCCCCGAGTTGTGTCAGCTCCGAGACAATGTAACCCCCAGGCTCCAGGGCCGTGAGTGTAGTGATTTAACAAATCATATGTTTAAACAACGGATGGCACACTGCTGTTTGAGGGGTCTTGGAAGCACATTTCTAAATAATGGGGGAAATAATGAGCGCCTCTCACAAGGGCATTTAAATGACACACGCATTAGGAGGTTGGGGGAGGCTCTTGTATTCCTGCATAATAAACATGTTTCCCCGTGCTTTCATCCTGTATTCACTTCGTGCTTCAAAAATAGTTGTTGAATGGGAGCAGACTTCTGGGTGCTTTGCAAACAGAAAGGCAGCCGGTGGCGCATTCCCCAGGCTTTCTGAGAGGCTCAGGTTGATGCCCTGAGGAAGGGAGAGGAATGTAGTAGAAAGCCCAGAGACCTTCTTGCTCCCACATCTCCTCCCTCACCTGCCGTCGGAAGCATATTCCCTCATTGAAGCCATTGCTGTCTGTAGACAGGAGGTGGCAGAGAAAGCTACTTATTGGCAATGACGTTTTGGCATCGGGCAGTTACCTAGATTGCGTTCTAAGGAACATGTTGGCTGGGAAGAATGGGGCACAGGATTAGCAAGTTTGATTTACTGTGGTGGAATATGAAGGAGCAGGGACAGGGACAGGCTCATAAGGCTAATTCCAGGTTCTTAATATAGCAAACCTCTGCCTACATCTCTACCCAATCTCTCACTCTTCCCCGTCTCCTGTGGTTTCTTAGCGTCATGAGTTGCTGATGTGCTTGATGCACACTTGCGCTGGTCCCTCTGCCAGAAAGTCCATTCTACCCCTCCTACACTGCCTGCGTGTCTTCTACTCTGCCCTGGTTACTCCATCTAGTCAGGACCACCTTACAGCTTTTGTTGGTCCTAAGCAATTTTGCCTTTGTGGGCCCTTCTTCCAAAAAATATTAAAAACTATATTTTATAACTGCATTGGCACAAAGATGCACATACTATAGGCTGCATCCATTGTTATAGATTCATTATTATTATATTCATCTGTTCCTGTTTTAAAAGAAATTAAAACCAAAGCATTTCATGGGCCCTGGGCACGGTGCCTGCTGCACCTAAGGGATGAGACGGCCCTGCGTCTAAGAGGCTGCTCTGCCTTCCTCGCAGGTTAAGCTTCCCGTCTCTGTTGCTCTTGTAAAGTCCCCTCTAGTATTGCACTTGCCACACTCTACTGCAGTTGTCTATGTGTATGTCTGTGTACCCCACTAACCTGGGCGCATCGTGAGAAGACAGAACTGTGCGTTCAATGAGGAAACCTGTATCCCCCAACCCAGGGCCTAACTCCTAAGTTGCAACTCCACGCACTCGCATCATACTAAACAGTTGACAGAGACAGATTTGGTGGGGTGCCGTCCTGTGGGTTTGGCCACAGCGAGGAAGGCAGGGTCAGCAGTGACGGTGCTGATGGGCAGGAGGGTTTTGTAGATCTGCTGAGTCTGGACCACGTGGTAGCTGAGGGCCTGAACTGCCCACAGGCCGCGATAGACCAGCCGTGCTGGTCCAAGTGACACGTGGACCAGGCGGGATGAAAGGCTGAGCTCCTCTCTGGCCAGCGTGGCTTCTGAGCCCTAAGGAGACCACCTTTCCCAGCACCACAAAGCAGCCCTGACTGCGTGCCCACATGAAACAGAGAAACAAAAACAAGACAATCAATAGACCCGAGCAATTTCATAAGTACGGTCTGGGGTCCGTTTGGCTGGAGGGGAGAATTTAATTGCAAAGCTCCTATGTCTCAACTGCCCGAGGCTAGAAATTGGAGAGGGAAGACTAGGAGACTCAAGTGTGAATTCTAAGTAGGACTTGAGGGTGGAGGGTCTAGGAAGGCCTGCCGGAGACCGAGGTTAAAACGATGCAGATGAAGGCACTTGAGGTGAGTGCTTTGAATTTATACATTTCTGCTTCCGATGGCGGAAGGGGAGTGACGATCCGCATTGCATTTCAGAATTTGCACTTAAAAAAACCGAAAAACCCAATAGGGTATCTTGCTAACAGTCTACTAGAATGCCATTTGGTATAAAAGAAAAGGAAGTTTGAGATGTAGTTCTTACCATCAAATAGCTTATAATGTAAACTGGGCAAGGCAGGTCACGTGTGAATTACTAGTTGAAAATGACAGAGCAGACTCAAAACCACATAGGCCTCTGGACCAACAAGGAAGCAAAGAGCAGGTGGGCAAGAGAAGTGGTAGGGTCCAGCCCCCCTGTTTCTCCAGCTGGCCTCACCTGAGGGTTCTACTGGGTCTGTCTAAGGGATGAGCTAAATCTGTGTCTCTAGGTCTCCTCTCCTTTCTGAGCCCAAGAGCCACAATCCCATCAACCTTTGGGATATGATTCCTATAAAAGGCCTCTGTCACCTAAACGTACCCTGCCCTTTCTCTCCTGCTCCCACTGATGTCCCTAGTTCTATTAATGGCGCCAGCACTATTCAATCAGAGTCACAGTTTCAGAGTCTTCCCTGACTTGATCCTTTCCCTTGTGGGCTGCTTTAATTGGCACTCTGGGCTCGAAGGTTCTTTTCTTCACGGCATCACTTGGGCCAGATCTCGTCTTTGCTACTCTCAGGCCACCTCCTTACTTTCATTCCATTTCACCTTCTTCTGGACGTTTGAAATATCCTCCTAATCATTTCTTCTTAAAAATTATTTCAATGTATATACTGGAACTGGAGTAATTTTATCTACACTGTCCTGCCCCAATATCTCCAATAGCTTTTCATCGCCTCCTCTAAAAAAAGAGTCTTCACTCAGGCATTCTAGAAAAGCAGTTAAGAAGGAAGGCTTTGGTGTCATACAGACCTAGTTTGAGCCCTGGTTCTCTTATTGATTAACAGGGTGACATTTGCTGAGTTAACCGTTCTAATCCTGATTGTTAAAATGTGGATATTCACTGTACCTCCATCGTGCTGTTGCCAAAAAGATCACAGATGTCAAAAGTGCATGGCACAGTGCCTGGCACACATAAGTGCTGAATAAGAGAGCTATTATTACCAGCTTTTATGATTTTTTTGCTTCTTATCAATTTGACTATATCTATCTTTAAAAAGATAACTGACATTAATTATCCTCCACATACCTAAGTTTCTAACAAGCAAGACTCTTCACTTGCCTCCTGCAGGATGGGTTCTGAAATTCGTTCTGCTGCCGCAGGGCTGGCATCCAGTCTAGCTGAGTGAGGACTCAGTACTCCTTGTTCCCTGAGTGCAGCCTGCCTGTAACTCACACCATGTTTCCCAAGCCACGATTCAGGCTGCTTCCCCAGTCTCTGATTCCTGCTTATCTTTTCCCTAGCACTGGGACCCTTCCCCAAACCCTGATCAAGAGGGCTGCCCTGGAAACCCTGCTCATCCTAGCAATCTGCTGTATCTTCATTGGTGGCCTGCAGGTCTCCCGGCATCCAACAGGAAGGGCCATCCATACTCGAAACACTGCCGCCTGCCGAATTCTGAGTGTGAGCAGCACAGGACAGTGGTTACGATCATGGTTGCTGGAATCAGCTAAACCTGGGTCCCATCCTGGACTTCAGTGTGACTTTTTTTTTCTTTTTCTTTTTTAGACAGAGTCTCACTCTGTTGCCTGGGCTAGAGTGCTGTGGTGTCTGATTAGCTCACAGCAACCTCCTACTCCTGGGCTCAAGCAATCCTTCTGCCTCAGCCTCCCCAGTACCTGGGACTACAGGCATGCACCACCATGCCCAACTAATTTTTTCTATATATTTTTAGTTGGCCAATTAATTTCTTTCTATTTTTAGTAGAGATGGGGGTCTCACTCTTTCTCAGGCTGGTTTCAAACTCCTGACCTTGAGCGATCCACCCACCTCAGCCTCCCAGAGTGCTAGGATTATAGGCGTGAGCCACAGTGCCCAGCCTTCAGTGTGAGCTTGAACAATGTATTTAACCTCCAACTTCTTTATCTGTAAAACATTGGCTATTGTACTATCTTATCCTGTATTTCCTTAAATGTAGTGCCTGCTACATACTCAATGAGCTTATTTAGGAAGGCGATCCCAGAAGAAGGAACACAAGACAGGGCCAAAACAGGGCAGGGGAGACAGGCAACACAAAGCGGAGGAATGGATTTGGCTAGTTCACGAGAGACTGGTGCTCAATCCCTCTGGGATTTCAAAGGAGCTTTATGAAATCCAAATCAGAAACGTCTGTCCAGGGGAACATAAGAAGAAGCATTTATCCATTACTGTCTGCCACCATTGGTCAAGAGTGACTTCCACTGGGTATTAACCACTGGCACTTGCAGTTGCATTTGTGTGGGTGCCAAGCTGTGAAGCAGAAAAGCTCTGGGGCAGGAAGTAAGAGATGCGTGGCGAGGCTGAAGGAGGTGCTGTCAGGCGGGCTCTCCCAAAGCAGCTAGAGATGCCCCTGTATGCATTTCTCTCTTGCAGAAGTGTCACCTTCATGAGGTGATGTGCATAAATGGTTAAGTCCTAACAGGCATATATTAAACACTTCTTTCCTCAAAATGCTTCCATGGCTTTCCATCAAGCTAGGAAAAAATTCAAAGCCCCTGACCATGGCCTCCAAGTCTGCGTATGATCTAGAGCTGAGGTGTCTTGCAGACTTCATTTTCTACACATACTCTCCTTAATCATTCTGCTCCCTTTATACACTGTAGGTTAGACTATTTGCTGCTGACCGCACACTAAAACACCCAGAGCTGGTTTTGGCCTCAGGGCCTTTGCATTTTCTATTGCCTCCACTTAGAATGTCCTTTCCTCTGATATTTGGATGGCTTTCCCCCCTTCATTCAAGGATCTATTCAAATGTCACTTCCTCAGAACCCTTCCCAGGTCATCCCATCTGAAATAGCACCCCTAGTACTGCGACTACACTCTACCAGCCTCCCTCAAACCACTTAGCTTTCCTGACATTATAGTAACATGTAACTTATTTGTTCTTCATCAATATCCATTTTTAGAATCTAAGCTCCATGAAGGAAAATGCTTTGTCTATCTTGTTCACAGGTCTATTTCAATGCCTAAGCGCAAAGTCTGGTGTGTAGTCCCAGCAAATGTTTTTTGCATGCATGAATGAATGAATGGTAAGTCCTATCACCACCTCATCCCCCTTTGCATATGGATGAGTAGACGAGTGACCCTGAACGCCACAGGCGCTCACTGTCTACATCCTGCTCCAGACCCTGCCATGACCAGATATTCTCCCCTCCTCTGCCCACCTGTACTCC